AGGGCTTGCTTGCAAAGATAAGAAGGCAGCGCGCACTTGTAGTGTTTGTAGGTGCATCGACGAAGCAATGTGAAACCCGGACATTCTCGCGAAATAAGTACACGAGAAAAAAAAACATTTAAAAAGTGATACCTGAGGAGCGATTACCCAGCGAAGCAAGGAATATGGTCTTTAATAAACTCTTATTTCTTGCCACTAAAACCAACAGGCCGCTTCTGGGAGTAGCTTGCGTCACATATACAAGAGCTTAATCCACAAAAGGGCTTTTCACCATTTCTAATGCTACATTCATATGTGCAATATCACAGTTTATTTTACGTGGCTTAGTATGAGTTCACAAAGCTGTTTTATGTTTTATCACAGGGCAGTTGTTGTGCTTATTAAATAAGTACACTGACTTATTTAGCAGCTGCTACTATATCTATATTGCATATACGATAGGCTGTGCATACTGGTGCAGCTGTTCTTTTGCTCAAGTTTAACAGTGCAAAAATGAATCATATGAAATTCATACTGATATTGAATCAGCCGAACACCTTCACCAGTGATATGCCCCACAAGAATATCGGCTAAGATAGTCTTTAGAAGCACTATTTATTGTACGGAGGTTTTGTGGACACCAATGCAGCCGCTCCACGTAAATTATTTGAAATTTTTAAATATTGAAGCAGCCATGCAGCTGAACTGAACCCATTGAGTGTTAAAGTGAACCCATTTACCTCGCTTGCAATAACTAAGGATTACTTTTTACGGGCGAAGATCCTAAAGCCATGGGTCTGTACACCACCTGCTTGTCTCTCTTGGTAACGTGACCGCCTTGTACTATTACTCATTCAGCAGGTGCGGACAGATGGACGGACTAACAGACAGACAGACAGACAGACAGACAGACAGACAGACGGACGGACAGACAGACAGACAGACAGACAGACAGACGGACGGAGAGACAGACGGACGGACGGACGGACATACATACAGACGGACGGACGGACGGACGGACGGACAGACAGACAGACGGACAGACAGACAGACGGACGGACGGACATACAGACAGACAGACGGACGGACGGACGGATGGACGGACAGACAGACAAACAGACGGACGGACAGACAGACAGACGGACGGACGGACGGACAGACACACGGACAGACACACGGACAGACAGACAGACAGACAGACAGACAGACAGACAGACAGACAGACAGACAGACAGACAGACAGACAGACAGACAGACAGACAGACAGACAGACAGACAGAGACACAGACAGAGCTTCATGGTTTAGCGAGAAAACCCTCTGAAGCATCGCCCCACTTGTGTTCATACACTGCGTGGTTATGCTGTGTTTTTTCTATCTCGCCTATTTACGCGATTTTCGATGATGATTAACTAGCACATATACGATAACTTGAGTGCAATGACAATGAGAAAATTATGCAACAGCCTGGTGAAATTTCCTATACGGCTCTCTGTTGCTTTTCACACGCTGCAGAAGCACTTTATCAAGCCTGTAAGGAAGCTTGTCAACATTAGAAAACGCAGCAGTGGTCTGTTGAGTATCCGCAGAGCTCTTTATACCTGTAATGTTACAACTAACTATTCAATGAGTACAGACAGGCCTGAAGCTAAACAGCCGCTAAACGGTTTGATTGATTTTGATAGTGGACCATTACTCAAGATTCATGACGTCAGATAACCGGGCCTAGTCTTTGTTTTTTCGGAAAGTGTTTTTTTTTCTTCTCGTTAGTGAATCAAAAAGTGGAGCTTTATTACGCGTTTTGAAATATTTTTCGCTCAAATAGTTGGGATGATGGCCTAAATTGCTGCCGTTCCGATACAGAATGATTTTGTTATCGGTTCTGTACAGACAGTTACTTTTAAAATACATTTATCATCTCTGATATTAGTATACGGTCAGTTTTGTATTTTTCGAACACAGTTATTTAGAAGGGGGAAAATATTCGCGGCTGTTGAAGTGAAAGCGTATCATATACGTGTGCACGAAAGAAACAGGAGTGTGTGCGAGCGCCTCATATAATGCCTTTGTGCATTGCGTTACGAACGTAAGGGTCTCGATAAGAGGGTGTAGGGAAAAAGGGGGCAGGCTCTGGAGAAACGTCACGCACTTCGTCCTCCTCTCCCGTCCTCCCACTTTTTTTTTGGGGACCCTTGCACACGCTTAGGCTTCGCCAATCAAAAGTTTCGTTGGTCGTTCAAAAACGCCAAGCTATTGCTTCGTTGACAGACCACGCTCATTCTGCTCTCTGCGCCTACCGTTCTCACCAGTCTACACTTTCATTTAATTACGCATTGAGAGAGTATTTATGGCCCAACGTGAATTCATGGCACTAGGAAGTCATTTAAGTGAGCTTGCCGGCCGTGCGATGAGTGGTGACCAATTGGTTGCCACCACGGCTGCAGTCTTTCGCTGTAGGTGAAACGCTAGAGATTGATGTATATAGATTTAGGTACACGTTAAGGAACCGCAGGTTCTTTTTGTTGTTCCAGAAACATCATCATTCTGGTCCAAAGAACATGTAAGGGAGACCTCGCGTGATTCCTCTAGTCCCACATAACCCGGTGGAAAAGCCTCAGGTCGTCGAAATTCGCCAGAGTCCTTCACTAAGGCGTCTCTCATAATGACGTCGTGGTTTTTCGGCGTCAAGCCCCAAAATTTATTATTAGTAGGGCTTTCCCCGAACATTTCGGCCCAGGTAATTACTTCTGCCGGAATATGGTTGTCAATATTCGACAGGAGTGAGTCGGACGCCTCGTGGCAGGAATGGCAGTATTGTCTATGAGGTGGGTGTCCCTCGCGATTCCGAACAATGGGATGGAGTAACTTCCCGTTTTTTTTTCTGCAATTATGCGACAAAGAGTGTGTGTAGCACTGATTTTGTCGCCAGCAACCAATCTCTGCTTCCTCACACCATTTAAGCCACATTACCTTGTATTCCGTCGTGCATCATCTCTAACAAGAATGACGTTTCCACAAAACGGCGTCAACAGTAGCTTTGCATTGCTTCTTCGATCAACGCCTTAAATAAATCTTGAGTCGTGAGGCACAGCGGTAAATAATATGACTTACGAGGCTTCTTTCTACCTGGCGCTTCTTTTCGTGTGACAGAGGGCGAACACCCCTACCCAGCAGGCTGATTGTCATAAATTATTAGGCAGTTATAGTATGCCGGGCTTAACGGGATTCTGGGGCGTACCGTGATACCGGGATGGAAGTGCGCATGTGCAGATACGTACGATACCAGTACCACTTAGCGCACGCGCGCTATTTTTACGATTTAACGTTACCGTGGTAGCGTAGTTGTACGTAGTGTACGTAGTGTACGTAAAACATGGCGGCGCTCTCGGACGCCCACTTCGAAGTGATTTCAGCGTAGTTGTTAAAAGGTTCATTTAGTCCGTAGCAAACGACTGTTTAAAATGGCTTCGCTTGCCTTCAATTAGCTTCGGCGACCGAGTATTATGGATAAGTTGGTGTAGTTTTTGAGATAGCTTCCAATTTCGAACGTGTCTAGGCCCAACTACAAGATCGATGTAAACAAATCGGCAACATAAATGTTTTCGCGTTGTGTGCGTGGTTCTTATTTATTTACTCTTGGTATCACTAAAAGAATCTTGTAACAATGCTTCGCATGGTGTCACAGGCAGACACTCTCGTTTTCATTTCCTTTTCACTGTTCTTACTTCTCAGCCATCTGATAGGTGGCGCCACCATCCCAGCTAGGGCACGTAAACCACGTAAACGCTATCCCGCTAAACTATAAGACGCTGTCCACAACGAACGTTTGCTGCACGGTAACGCCATTCCCTTAACCTCCGCTATTACGCTAACGGTAAACTATAACTGTCTATTAACGTTGTTCCGTTCCGCAAACATGTATGTATACGTTTCAGAGGTAACATGATCACCGATCGAGTATCGATCAATCATCGGTACGTGCAACCAGAATCATTATCCAAATAAAGCAACAATAGTTGCAATAATGGAAAGTCCTGGAAACTCTCAGAGAGGCCTTTAAAAATCTAACAAACAAAACAAAAATATCAAGCTTGTTTAGTCACGGCTGGCCACAATCGAAAGCCTCTAACAGCGCTACTTTCATATAAAAGTCATATTACTTCAATCTACGTGCGGCGTTTGCATGTAGCTTGTGCACTGAGGTAACAAAATTCGCTACGACTGATGTAATAACTAGGAAAAGGTTGATTCCAATCGGTTGCTGGCAGTCTCATGCAAGCACGTGGAATTAATTGGAGAAAAATATATTGGTGCACCAAAAATAGCCCCTAGTGGAATGCATCGAACATGTTGCAATCGATGATTAAATTAAATCAATAACAACAACAAAAAAGAAGTATGGTTCGGAGAAAATGGAAGCTTGAAGGTTAGAAAATTGTCATAACAGGAAATGCCGATGGATCCAAGGCTTTGACAAGTAGACTTGCCTTAGTAAGGGCAGCAAAGAGCATTGCTTCCGATCGAAGGATCGGCTTCAGCGATGTAATGTTTCTTACAATTTCTGATCAATGAACTTGAAACGAAATTGAGCAATTACCCTGCTGAATGTAATTTTTGATAGTCAAGGGGCAAGCTGTGAACCCCACATTCGAACATCTAAATAGGCTAAATGCGATTGTCATTGCATTAGGTTGCTTAATGACTGTGACATTGTTCGCAGCCGATAATCATATTTGAATGAGCCGTTCAAGGTGATGATATTCTGATAAAAGGGGAAATCTCGAGAACGTAGCTAGCAATGATAATATCTCGGCGAAACTGTTAAGTACGTTACAGGGTAGCATAATGGCATAAATATGCATACAGTGATACATCACTGTACGAAAACATGTATGCGTTGTCTCTGTTGTGGAATTTCTTTTGTGAATTATTACATCTTCTCTGTCATGAAAATATTAGGCATTTCACATTAATATAGGCACCAGTGATTCCTATTGTTCAGAGTCAGACGGCATCCTTTCAGGTACGACTGGAGGCACATGGAAACTAAGCAAACTGCCGAAGAGGTGTTCGTGTCGAGGCAAGGTGTGTGCAAGGACTACTGCCTTTTGCTAAGTGAAATGTGCAGGTGAGTGTTGGCTCTTAAGTATACTTTCGTATTTGTGATCAGTACACTGTTCTCGAAAGAGTTTTAAAAGAGAAATCTAGTGCTTTGCTAATTGTTTCAGTAGTGTGAAACCACGGCTTCGAGAAGTCAGCGTGCGTGTTATACGCTCAAGCAAATATCTCAAAACGTTATCGAAGTTAAGTTGGCAATGGTCGGCTGAGTTTCCCAGTTGGAGCAATGTGCACAACATTATGGTATTGTACAAAAGCTAAATGTTCTATGTCATATGATTCCTAACCCAATTCAGCGTAATCTCTTTTATAAACTTTGCCAACATAATACGTACATCAGATGCTTCTCGTAATATTTATTAGAAAAAATGTAGTTGAATCTGAATTTTTAACATATTTCATGACGGTATCCTTCCTAGTCCTAGAAATGTTTTCCGTGATCCGTACGTAGTTAACTGGCTCTGATTTACTTTCAAATTCATCGTGTGACGAACAATGAATATTGTGAACCTGCTCCATCAGGCATATTTCGCTTTAACAGGAATGAATTGTGTGCATCATAGTGCACGCAATTTGCGTATCTGTGTAATCTGCGTAGGGCACACATTCATGCGGCTATGCAGGTGTGCCATTGTGATATGCCAACAGTTCGTGGAATGTTATTCTATGTTGTATTCTTTTTTCTCTTGAGATAACAACGTTACACTGTGGTTTAGTGGCATGTTTCACGTGATTATTAGCATATATCTTGCACGTATACTTGTGCAGATTTCAGTTATGACGCACGAGTCGCTTTGAAAGTGTGGTGCAATGAATGCTCACTTGCATATGAATTATTTGTAGTTATCATTATTTCAAACTGTTATGCCTCAGTCCTGTTTTGTATTAACTATGTTAAGTAACAATATTGTTAACGGGGCACATTTTTTAAACACTCGGCTATGGTGTGTTTCGAAGTTGTCCGGTTTGCGAATTTGGGCAATGTCACATGAGGTTGTGGTTGCTGGCTAGCATGTTAAGAAATCTGGAATTTATCTCGGCGTTTGCAAAATTTTATGAACCTTCTGCGCTTCTGTGTTAGAATATTGATCGTTTATGTGGGCGTATTGGTGGTACTGGTGAATCAATTTAAACAGCGAATTACTTCGAATCTAATAACGCATGTGTTGCATGGAGCAAACTCCTACGTCCAAGTGAAAAAAAAAAAAAGCTGCTGGGTCACTTCCCTTCAGCATTGCCTCAAACAGAAAATCCTTTCGGTTTCGCTAGTGTGACGCGGCATATTGGTTGTAAAGCTTTGTTGTAGCATTAATTTCTATCGTTTGGGTGTGCAGTGATTTACGCTGTATCAAACACTTGCACGTGCACACTTTCTGACAAGACAGATGTCGTTTGTGTACGACCATTGTGACCTTAAACTAAGTGCCAACAAAGTTCACCAATTGATTTTTTTTTTGCAAAAATAGAATCACCGGACCTATTTTTGTTATAATGTTACGATATAAATTTATAGACAATGTTGAATGAAAAATACCTTATTTCTATTGCTGAATTGCTAACAGAAAGTCCATGACGCTGTTTCTTGTCCTGTAGACTATCTTACGTATGGGTTTATATGCTGGTCTGTTAACCTTGTCGTTTTGAATCTTGAACGAGCAAAAGAACAGTGCTACCGAAGACGTAAACGCAAGTAAACGATTAGTTTGGTGCATTCGATGCTTCACGACCTTGTCGGTTCCCGTCGCGATATACAAAACTAAGAAAACATTTGCAAGGTGGCAGTGCCTATGTCTTACGTAAAATTGCCTAGAGGTGAGGTTCGTCCTTGCGGACATACTGTTATTTCTTAAATTATCGAGGGGAGTGCGATCACTTTTTATTCTTTGCATGTATGTGGCATTTCTGTATAGGGTGTAAATTTAATTAATCACCTCCAGTTTGTTGCTAAGATTTTTTATTATTTGAACTTTTGATATTCTGATTGAATGGGGTCGAGAGCGATGGTTCGCATGGCTGCCGTCACGCAAATGACAGTGCTTGTAAATGTTTCACGATTTTTTCAGCCATTTCATCTATTTGAAACTTTCGTTCTGCGTCAAGTTCTGTCAGCTACTGAACATTTCAATTTCACTTATTTATGTGAAACTAAAAAGCCCTTTAGAAGCCGGTGAACTTTTATGTATGATGATAGTTTTCTTGGGATACTTAAACGCAGAAAATTGAGACTGTCTCTATGTGAGAGTGTCCGTGTTCTCGCTTGTGTCACGCCATTGAGGTGATTGGCGAAAGTCTAACCCTTTCTAAAGCGAGCAGCCAACTTGATTTGTTTTTTTTTGCGTTGATACGTGTTGACATTGTCAATCAAAAAGAAATAGTGCATATATTTTAGTAAACCATCAGTACGGGGCTATTAGGTAGTGTGTTACTTCATTTCTAAAGTGCATAGATGCGTAAATATAGAGGACCGCAGTGCTTAATACACGGCGATGGCATTGCGACGCTATGACTGAAACACGAACGTTCCCCAATGTTTACTAAAGCAACATGGTGCTTCATCATATCAGTGACTTTGCGTTTTAGAGAAAGTTTGTTTCTTCAAATCACGGCTAGATGACGCCCATATTTAAAGCAGCAGCCATTCGCCAATTTTCTCGCGCAGAATGTCCAATAAATATTTTATTCTCTCTCTCAAGACAGAAAAATATCGTCTTTCGACGACCGTTGCCAGCTAAGCATGCTGATACGCCGTCAACTTTTTTTCTTCTTGTTCTTCGACCAACGTCTTTGTTTTTGCTTTTTGTCCACACAGCTGAGATACACGTCAGGAGACACAACTTTTTTTTTCCTTTTCAGTGAACTTTCTAGTGTTCGTCTTATCAGGATATCTGCGAACCACTTTCAATGTCGCTACGGTTGTAGTTTGTATAATAGCAGCGAATTGGCTGTCTCGCCTTCAATCTACTTGTACATAATTTATTGAGGATGCTCGCTTTCGATCGCTGCGCCATAGACATTCCTTAGTCATCCCGTTCAGTGCGCTGCCAGAAATGTAATATGAAGCCTTGCCTTTGTTGTTCGTCCATTCGCATTGTCGATCTGCGCTGGTGCTGGTTGCAGTGGTCGTCATAAATTTCGCACGTCAGTCGTGTTTGTACAGTGTGTTTACGTTGCGAACGTAGCAGCGAGGACACGCAGTGCCTGCTGTAGCAGCGTTGTATGTCGAAGGTGACGTCGTTTGTCATTCTCCGTTCAGTTGTCCGAAGATTACTCAAAATCGCCGTCTCGGTGGATAGTCATAAGTGCACACAATGCGAGCGATATTATTTTAGTGCCCCGGTCACTTTCGTAGGTTAGCAATTGTGTCTGCGTTATTATGAATCAGCGCGAACGCGCGTATCGCCACCATGTTACGGCAGTAATGTTTCGATTCCGCAGGTAGTGTATTACTTGGGAAATTTTCCTCCCGTTAACAATTGAGGATTGGAATCGGCTTCCAGATGCAATAGCCAACCAACCAAATACTGTGAAGTTTAAAACCTTACTAGAAACTCATTTTACAACCGCACCGTCGTAATATCTGTGTAGACAGTTGCCTTTCTCTCATTTTTTAAATCATGCTATTAGTTGTATAACGAGTTCTGTTTTTATTATTGTCCTGTAATTCGAATTCTTGTATTTTAACCTACTTTATGTTCTCGTTCTGGAATTGCCTTTGTGTATCCTTCTTCGACCCCCCCCCCCCCCCTCCCTCTTATGTAATACCCCGTCAGGGGCCCTTAAGGAAAAATAAATGATGATGAAAACGCTAATCACGGGAAGGTACACGGTTTGCTACAACATGTATAGCCCGCAGGCAGGCGCTCTTTGAAGGTAGTGGTCACGCTACACTACCAATCACTTTGTGCAGCGTGCCACTGTTTGTTTGCGTGCGTGAACGTAGTGAGACGTCACGCGATTCCGTTATACATGGGAATTAACAATGCGGGCGCAGCGCGTTTAGGAAGAGCATTGCGGCTTGGGTTTTACTTCTTCGTTAAGTGACGGTATTACACAACTAAAAAAAAACGATGAGTGAGAGACGTCGTAGCCACGTGATGAAACATACGCAGTTCGTGTCCCGGGAGAACGCAGGAAATCACGTAAGTGTGCCGCAAGGAACGTACATCGGCGTACCTGCTTTACGCAGACCACGTGTATCGAAGAGTGGGCATGTACGGTAGGTTGTTTCAGCTAAGCCAACATTAAACCTCATGTTGGGTGAAACATGCAGTGTGTGCCCGTGTTTCCTAGAACAAAGTCCTAACTCTTTGCTGCTTTCAGTGATGCCAACCTGAGTGACTGTTTTATCCCTAGGTTGACCCTCCAAAATACCTTAGATTGCAAAAAAATCTCTAGCTTGACTTTTTAAAGTCATCATTAAATTAATTCACATTTTACGAAGTAAAGTACTATTTATTCTTAGTCAATTCATCTGAATATTATTAGAAGTAAAAAGCATGATACCAATAGCCACTGAAGGCTTTTTTGGTGCTTCTTGTTCGGAGGAATTGCACATCAAATGTTTACGGATGACGCAATATCTCCTAATACAAACAAATTCAACCATTTTCACTTTGCCCACCTATTGAAAAAACGGGTGAGATCGTACGGGCCAATCGCAAGTCTGTAGCCCTTCTCGTATACTTGCAGCATGCAGTGTGGCCGTCGATTCATTTTCCACACTTGCTCTCCGCGTTGTATAATGCGTAGGACATACAGGATTCCCTTCCTTTAGTTAGTGGCTGATTGCCATCGTGTGTACTTTTGATCTTCTTTCCGTATGACAAAATATTTTTGTCACCACATTCCTTCTGATAAAAAGGGCACCAGAGAGAGACTGAAAACACTAACAGTTTTAGTGGCTCCCTCCTTTTGCTGTGGTATAGTGCATATTCCCGGCACCATAGCTGGGGGGGTTGTCACTCGTCGTTGCGCCGGTGTTATGGTGTATACGCTCGTATTCATTACTCCCGCCAAAGGCGCAGCTATGCTCTTCGTTTTTAGAGCGCTCACTAGATGGCCCACCATCGCTGCAGGCGATGCTCGCTCGCATCAGAGCTATTCTATGCACACCACACGAATCAAGTCATGCGCCTCGCGATCACTAAAACGGGACGGAAAACACTATCAGAACTAGGCATTGAAGCCCCCATTGAGAGAAGGGTAAAACAACGTGTCCCACATGAATGAAGGGAGGACTTCATCATCAAACAACTTCCACGCAACATGCATCCTCAATTCCACGAACATCGACGTCGGGCACGGGCAAAAGTTCATGACAACTACTCATATATGTATACTGAGGGCGCCTTCTTTGTCGATGCAGCTGGACCAGTGAACGGGAAATATACAGCGCGTCATTCATTGTGGAAAACAGGTTGATTGTATATCAGCCCAGGACACAGACACAACCAGTATGGAAAAAGCAGAAATCGCCCTCGCCCTACGAAACCCAAGGTCCACTTTCGTTCTAACAGTTTTTTGTAAAGGCTACATTGGCCCCATTGCGCATCGACTTCTTACACAACTCTCGTCTTCACGCTCAGAGGGTGAATGGAAACAGTTGATATGGATATTCGGCCACTGTGGAGTTAGAAGCAATGAGCTTACTCATGCCTCGGCCCGAGAATTACTCTTCCGGGCCTCCAACCTCAGCATATCGGACCCACCCTCGGCTATGCGTATGGACCCGTTCCTAACATACACAGATATTCTAGAACATCAAAGACTTGAAAGACGGAAACTTCCGCTCCCGGGGCGAAAGTTCAGTAAAGAATCTCAGGTAGCGTGGCGTCGCCTGCAGACCTTGTCTTACACCAATGCCACACATACTGTCCAAGATAGATCTGGACACATACGCACCACAGTGCAGGTTCTGCGTCACTAAAACAGCCGCCCTGTACCACATGGTATGAGAATGCCCACACAGTCCACCTCTACAACCCAGAGCACAGCACAACACTGTAGGGTGGCAGGCAGCTCTGTCCAGCTCGGATCCGAAGACCCAAGGGGCCCTCGTGAGACGAGCGAGGACAGCGGTCCGTGCCAATGGTATCCCGTACTAAGGAGCCCACTCACCGACACTCTTTCCTCGGTCGCAAATAAATGTTTTATTCTCTCTCTCGCTCGCATGAGTGCAGCGGGCGAGGCTCCATGCTGGCTCCACGCAGAGGGCGAGGACCACAATGAGCAGCGAGCTAAGAGACGCGTGTTCGAAATGCTGGTGGTGGAAGTAGTGTGAACGCCATGATCGACGCCGCTCCAGGCCTCGCGCGTCGCAGCTTCTTGAGTGCCGACAATGGCGTGTCTGCCGACAGCCCAATGTGTGTTCTACACAGACGACGAGTCGCGCGCTATGCATATAATCGGCCCACTGTAAAATGGCGACAAGGCGATGGATGCGTAGAGAATAGCTGTCCAAGACAGCGGATAGTATCATGCTTGTGGCCTGGCACCATGCAGGGCGTGTGGCATGTCTCTTCAAAAAAAAAAAGAAGAAAACATTGCGTATATAACGTGTATATACAATCGCACCACAACAGCTCCCGTGTCACGTCTTTATATTACGATGATTGAACATATGTACAGAGGATTTACGGTTTACCGGATTTAACCTCTCGACCAAACTCCTTCTCCATCATTCATTTCGTGGATATTTGCGAATATGTTTTCTCTCTTTCCACCACGCGTTTTTATAAATTCATAGATCAGACATACTTTCGCTCTTTTTCTCTCAAGGTTTCCTGGTCCAGGAATCATTAGAAATTTACACTTTGCATGGCGTCGATAGAGAGAGAGAGAGAGGAGACAGAGAGAAATAACATTATTGGGTTAAAAAGGCAGGGGTTTAGGAGCTAGGGGGGTGGGGCCCTCGGTCCAATGCTTCACTGGCTTGCGCCGCCAGCCGGACTTGGTCCAGAAAAGCTAACTGCACCTCCAGGTTCGAAGCTAGCGAGGAGTCACTTCCACTGCTCCAAAGAGTTTTCTATTCTATACATACGATATAAGCTGTAAGCGATTGACTTCATTTGGCCCTTTAACATATAGCTCGACGAGATATGGTAGAAGGTCAGGTGAGGAGTCGCAACACTACAGGATATTACCGCCCATACAAAGTCCCAAAGTTGGATGAATTTTGTGCAGTCGTAATAATTTGAATGAACTCCGTTCGCAGGCGAGTGTAAACGTGGCACATAATCGCGCGCGCTACTAGACAAAGCTTCTTTTTCAGAAAGCAGGAATCATACCAGGACGCTGATGATGATACTTGCGTGCATGCTAGACTTTTACAACGACAAAGTTTCACTTGTGCCCCGTATTCAGTATATATTTTCGCTTTGCAGAACTGCGCTCGCCTTCCCTTGACCCAAGAGAACTCCAAAGCTCGAATACATGGAAGCAACAACAAGCGAAAATCGCAGTTTTCATACCAGTTCCAGTTTAAGAAATTGGATTACTCACTGGTGTCTTTCACTGGACTACATTATGTACCATTTTCAGAGCTTTACCGAAATCTCTAGATACAGTTACAAGACAGCCATTCCTTGAGAGATAGAGCGAATTCCTGGGATTGGCATTATTGACTCCACACTGCCCCACTACCGCACCACTCTTTTGCAGATATGTTTTAGGCAGTGGTGCTTGAAATAGATTACTGTACCGTGGAGATGCATGTTTGTGTCTCTGGTTTTAGAAAAGCAACTTTAGCGCATTGGTAAATTTCATCGGGGATTTTAACACAGCTGCCAAGCTAAACATAATGTAATAGGCAGTAACGATGAACCTTTAACTCATCATATGCACGCTATGGTCCGGTGGCAAGCAGTGGAATTTGCCCAATTTCTGAGGCGCACACCCGTTCACGGCCGACCGGGACGACGGCATCACACGCCGACAAATCTAGATGCAAAGGTGCTTCGTCCCCTAAGACTGCCATTATTTTATGCAGGCTAGCAGGCATCAGAGAAAAAACCCTGCAAGGCTTCGCCAAGGGTTTCGACTACCGTCCAGGTCACCAGTTCCATCCTGGAGAAGATGTCACACATGCCTGGAACGCCGTCTTCATCCTAGGCGCATGGAGGCTTATCGACGCCACTTGGGGAACAGGTATATATTTTATACCAGTCACTGCACAAAATGTAGTACGGCATTCGGCTGTGCAAAAGGCTATAGAATCACATCAAACTCAGATACGTGCGCAAGATGTGCCAATACCAGCGGCCAGTGGAGCACAAAGGTCATTCGGTGAAATAATGGCATAAACATCACACACACCTATCACATACTGTATTCGACACACCCTGCTATGACAAGTGCTCTCAGAGACTTCTCAGTGGTGTTATTGTGATTAGAAAGCAAGTGTAATGACAATTAATGGTCTTTGACGTCCTAAAACCACCATATGGTTATTAAGACGGCATAGTGAAGGGGTCCGGAAATTCCGACCCCCTGGGTTTTTTTTCAACGCGCACTCAATTCTGAGCACACGGGCCTCAAGCATTCTCACCTCGATCGATAATGAGGCCAGCGTGACCGGGATTCAATCCCACGACCTGTGGGATTGAATTCCGCAAGTTAAAGTATACGGGTATAGTGACCTTTATCACTGCACATACTTATGACATTCGGGTAGTTTCCAACAGCATGTATGAGCTTAACACAAAGTGATGAATTATGCTTTGCACAAGTCAAGTGCAGCTCAGTTTGAATGCACTGATGAAGTGTCACGGAGCACACGTGTGGAACTGTGCACAGTTTTACACTTTACATGTAGACCATGCACTCACTTTTTACTTAATTGCACTTCGTGCACTTTAGGGCGTAGTGTGGAACTACCACTTTTACGCATGCCGGGAGTGGGAAGCCTGCTGACAAACCAACTGTTTGTGAGTGAAACTGCCGTGTGCGCACCAAAACGTCATTTCCTCCAATTCTTCGTAAGATCAGCGACAATATCTGTAATTGCTATGAGATGAATCAACCTGGCCAGACGGTATTTTGTTTGTACCATTGACTATAATATTCCGAAGGATGTTCGCGCAATACGTGCCATTGATATAATGTTTCAGTTTTTACATAGAGGTGTTTAGAAAATGTTACTTGTTTACTTGTGAGTCGATCACTGAAAATTACCATAGTCCTAATGGGAATGCGGCAATGTGCGGCCTAGCCAGAAAATATCATCATTCATCAACGCGTATGTCCAACAGAAATCAGATCCAGTCCCTCTACTCACGAATAGTCCATTAAAAGTGAGGAGGCAGCAGTTCACCCAATAAAGGGCTAACCGTGGGTACGTAGAACGAGATAATACAAGGTAACGGCCAAGAAGGGGAAGAGTAAACTTGGCCGGGCAGCATGTTAATTTTTCGTCCACTTTTATTTCTTCAGATTTACATTACACTTCTTTCTATTAATTTAACCTTTACTTTCGTTTGCGTTATTGTCTGTTAGTTCTCGTTGATAATACGTCTCCCTCTGTAAGTGAGGAGATTCACTACAAATAGACAATTACAAACGCAAAACGAGGAGCCCCCCCCCCCCCCTTATCGTGAAAATGGGTGTGTCTGTCGTACGACTTCTCTTGTCTTCTTCTCTCTATATCTGTTTCTCCTACTTTCATCACTCTCTTTCTCTCTATCACATTGTGCAATGCTCCCTCCTTTCTTTTTCCTCCATGCCGAGATTTAAACCGCCATGGTGGTGTATCGGTTCGGGTGCTCAGCTGCTGATCCAAAGGTCGTGGGTTCGTTCCCGGCCACGACGGTCACACTTCAATGAAGGCGATATAGTACAGGTCCTGTGTAGTGTGCGATGTCTGTGCACTTTAAAGAAAACCGCAGATGGCCGAAGCCTTTCCCTACCGAGTGCCTCATAGGATCATAGAGGCTCTGACATGTAAAACTTCCAAACGTGCTTAGCAAGCACAACACTTTGGTCGCTACAGGAAAGAACGACGGTCACGCATTCATAGGCAGGCAACAGTGAAATGGGGCAACGTGAAATGAAAACAGAACCTGGTAATGGAATAAGGTTACCATATCAGAAACGCCTCATCGCCGAGAAGCCCCTAATTAAGAAAGCATCAATTACTGGACAACGATGTATCGCCTGTGACCGGTGACTATTCGAGGGCTACATTTACGCCCGCATTTCTAGTCACTCGCCAGATCCGGGTTTTTCGCGTACACTCCAAGTAAAAAGCAAGTCCTATCTTTTATGCGAGTCCTGACTTACTAGCTTGCTACAGTATGCAACTCTCTTTAAAGAGTCACGTTAATTGTTTTGTGGATCACACGAGTCTCCTAAGAGAGTGTAATGACCTCCATAGAGAGTTGACGTGTGCCTTTCGAGGGAGCCGTGTATATGGAGAGTTCGTGGTCTCTCAAAAAACAGATGGCTCTCATTTTCGTATATTGCATTGTACGATGCCGCAACCGGTGCCGGGATTTGCAATTCATGAAAACCTTGCCTAAATATTTCCCTGGCCGCACTGATTTTCAAGCCTATTTCTCGAAGGTGAAGTGCGTTTATCACTTGGTTAAGTTCCCGCGCTTGCTGAATATCATTATATCTAAACCATATATAGTCAAGGTTGTTTTGAAATGAGAGCGCACTACTTAGACGCGGATAGAAAGACAAAGACAACTCGCCTAATCAACCATGTTGACAAATGACATAGTCAAGTGTTTGGCTGAAATTCCGTTCTGCGAGAAAATAACGTGGTGAAAACAGAAACGAAAACACGCTGAGGAGTAAAGGCAAAATGTACTAAAAAGGATGTGTGAGTTTCTTGGTCACAGAAAAGGCAAACACAATCGATCTTGTTCATATATGAGAAAAATTACACAGCACGCGTGCGTAGTTTGAGCAGATTTCTAGCATGTCCTGTTTATTTAGTGTTGCGCCGTCTGAATGTACACGGCGATACCAACAATAACCATTTAGGCAGCAGTTTTTCCTCGGTGATAATTGCGGCTGAGTCGAAGTGTAGGCAATGGCCCGTGGTCTCGTCAGAACAAGATACCACGAGCTTCGAGGTACTCTACGAGGCCCGTCCTGGCTGCTTATAAGTATGTGAATACTAATGATGACTGAACAAACGCTAATGATGTCGACTGTAGAATCGAGGCAGGAGGCACACCACCAAGATGTCCTAAGCGCTGCAGCCGGTGCTTTAGTGGCTCAAATAGTCCCGCTCATGTTCTGCACTCTCTAATGTGTCCCGCTCAAAGTGCCGGCTATAGCCAAGAAACCGTACATTTTTTGTCTCGTTTTCTGGATGTGCAGCATTAAAACAGTGCCTGAGTAAGAGTTGGCCACATACACTATCGGCAGGATCCCCAGTCATCCGACACATGATGTTTTTTCAAGTATGTACCAACAGGCCCAGCAACAAATTTTCCTGATGTCAGTGTAAGAGTGTGCACTCAAAGGAGTAGGTGCGTACACGCATGCTACCTTTGAAGCAAAAATGTCGCTGCCTTTTAAGGTTGCACCCTAATATAGGGTTGCTATATGCCATTTCAGGAAAATAATGGCAAGTTATGCATACATACTGTCGGAAAATTCAACTGTACGGAACGTATTGTGAGCGCCAACTGGAACGTTAACAGTGTCAAGCATTAGCACTGGTATAGTGCCCGCCATCCAGTCATCGCTATTGACCGTAGGGAGCTTATGTGACTGGCCGTAGTGTGGGCTCTCTAATTGACAGGCGGCAGGTAGCACTGCGCGTGTCCTTGCCGATGAGTGGACGACGGGGACCATACCATTGCTAATGCTTGCCGCTGTTCGTGTTTAATTGGACGACGATAGCACGCCCGACTTTCGTTCCTAAACACCAATTGTGTACGTAGTTGATGGGTGGTGGCAAGTGCCGTTCCCGTGGCTGACAAAGTCCCGAAGGAAAAGACAGGCGAGCGCCTGCAGGCGGCCTAGGCAGAATCGTGACGCAGAGCTGTCACCGATCATGGCCTATGCATGCGATGGCCTCTGGTTGCACGCCGTCGCACTGCCGGAGCAGATCACAGATGCCGCGCACTGACCACTGCAGAATTGTCCCGGGACACAAAGCTCCCATACGAAAGCACGATCGTTTCACAGAATAGATGGCGTTTGAGGGCGAAGGTTCGCTTGCACGATAAGTAAAACGCAGGCTGTTCTTTCTAATGCAACCGAGAAAGACGAAAATGGGATCAGTTCAAGAATATTGCTCAGAAAAAAAAAGCACATGTCGTGCTTTTGTTTATGGAGGACAGAGCCAGAAGCTAATACGTATACGTGCACGTTTTAAACAGATGGAAATACAAATAGGTTTTCGCTTGCGCCGAGTAAAGAGCTCGCGGGTGGGGGGGCAAGTGATTTCCTAAAGTAATATACATGAAATAAACGGAAAAGGGCTCCCCGAAACTGCTTCTTTCAGTGGAGGACACCTCAGCAGTAGTGCGTATTGAAAGGGATGGGTGATTCAAGGAGAGTAGACAGAAAAGACCGCGAATAATTAGAGGGGATCGCGGACTATGAACTCTCAAACGCGAGCGCCTCAGAGTGTCTCCAAGTGAGAAGTTAACTACTAATGATGTGTATCCAGTGTTCGTAGTCCTTCGCTTCAGTGGGCTCACTCGCATAATAGTGTTCTTGCTATTGCATAGCAATGAAGTTCGTTTAGTTTCTTTCTAGGCTAGTATAAAAATGTACTGTATCGTCTACGTGACTACCCTGTCCAGTGTGGTGAAAAGAGCCGACCTGGATACCATAGTACACGCTGTACAGTTTCTGTACAAGCCCCAGCTATTTTTCACAGTTTTTCTCGTTCACCTACAACAGCTTTTATTTTTGTTGAGTCATGTGAGCCGACGTGGTGCACATGTAAGTATACAGCAGCACCATATTTCTTCCAAACTGCAGTGAGGGATTCTATCAGCCGATACCAAACGCAGAAGTGAGCAGTAGCAATTCTTTAGCAGTGAAAAGAAGCAGTGCATTATATTTGTTTCTTTTCTTGTTTTTTGGTATTGCGCTCATGATATCGACGTTCGAAATGTGTCATGTTCACTGCCGTTGCAGACCTAAATACAAGAGGGGTAACATGAGGTGTCATAAAAGGGCTCGCCCCGACCCTGGCAATCTCATCGCCGTTGTTTATTGAAAGCATCTGTTTTGTGTACTGACTATACCATTGGGTACTGATTAGAACAGAGTTAAGCTTAAATTATTCAGTGAGTGAGCACTATATACGAACGACAATTTTTCAGATGTGAGTTATATGGTCCATTCGCTACGTCATCCTCAGAAAATAACTGGATCATCACAAGGACACAGGGACGCAGGCACAAAACAGAACGTTCACATTTGGTACCAAAGGCCAAAAGCACGAACACCAGAGCATGCACCCACATAACTATATATACCTCGTTATCCTCCTCAGAGGCTGGCCACTATAGTTGCCAGCCTACCTCGCGTCAATATTCTGACAAAGCGAACTCGTCCCTTCGGAGACTGTGTCTTTTTGAAATCAAGTCACTTTTCCTCGTCTCTTTCTCAGGATACACAGATCACACGGGGAAATTCATAAGGAAAATCAACGAACACTTCTTCGTCACCGACCCTGAGGTGCTCATATGGACGCACTTTCCTTACGACGAAATGGAGAAGAATTACTCAAGGTGAACCACACTTTGATTTCTTTGTTCTACTTTCTCCACTACCACCTCACCTTTGCTCTAAACGTACATCTCGCGTGGCAAAGTTTCATTGGAAAGTCACTACGTTCTCTTATTTCTTGTGGCATTCCATAGCCAAAATGGATCTTGCGGTTTGTTGTCATCTCAACAGATCTTCGTAAAAGGCGCAGATAAAAGGGGATCTATTTACAAATCTCCTGAGTGGCATTAGGTTTACTATTATTTATCGTGCAAGTCCTTTCAAGTATCTTTGTTGTAGCAATAAGCAAGTTGTCGCGCCGTGCATGACGCACTCTCAGGAATCAGAGAGCACTGCTTAGAATTGAAAAAAAAAACATTACTTGAAAAATGACAAAGTCTATTCATTACGCTCAGTTTCTAATCGCACTTCTAAGAAACGGGCGGGCAGATGTTAAACGAGGGATCACCTTATTGCACCGTTGTTCGTCAATTAGATATAGAGTCAAGTGTATTTTTCTGGTTAAATTTGTAAGTAGAAGCGATGCCTGCCAAGATTACCAAGAGTGTATTTAAGGGCTTTCGTGTCTTCTTCTATACGTCAGCTGATATCTAAAGCGCTGATTTCTTGATGGAGAATTACGACGCCATTGAAATTATTTATTCTCATAATATGAAATATCTTACAATGAAACAATTCATCAACTGATTTCAGGATATGAGCATTGGATAAAATAGAACCGCCACACTTAAACGCAAAAGATTGACGTTATAAATAACAACGTGCAAGCGCATTGGTGTCAAACAAGTAAATGCAACAAAACCTGCGTTAGAGATACAACAACAACAAAAAATAGTTCGTCTCTCTCATTATTATATTTGACGCACAATACTTGTGTTGTTCTCGGGAAGGGGACTTTTGGCAGAGGATATGCCATCGAAGGAAACCTATATACGAAAAATATATTACCATGTTGACCATATCAGATAATTTAAAAGCAAATTAGTCTCTTTTCCTGAGCCTGCCACAGTAGCCCTTTTGTTTGAGACCTTGTATTATGCGTCAGTAATCTCACACTACACAATAATGCCGTTTACAACACTTACCTGCAGTGAACTGAACAAAGTTGAATCAGTGTTTTTTTTTATTTGCGCATTCACACGTCGCTGTTTCCAGCCATAAAGATAGTGCAAATCGATGACGAATGTCATTGTGTCTCCTTTTACGCCCTCCAGGTGGCAGCTACTGGACAAGCCCCTGACTCTCGAAGAGTTCAACTCGCTTCCAAAGGTGACACCGCACTTCTTCCAGCTCAACATGCGGTTGCGAACGCGGCCGCAGAATCCCATCGTGTTCAAGGTGCGCACCGAGCTGCGAATCGCCTCGCACGAGCCTATGCGCTACAAGTTCAAGCTCTTCCCGTCAGACGAGACGGAGAACGCGGCGCTCAACAACTACGTCTTCTGCCACCTACTGGAAGACCGGAGCGTGGCCTGCTTCGGCGTGACGCCACCAACGGAAGGACGTTACATCCTCAAGATCTACTGCCAACCGTGAACGCGACATGCGGGCAGCTGCCGAAGGCAGCACTGGCTGCCGCTAGCGTCAGCCTGCAGAACATTGGCGTCTTCCTGCTGGAATGCCTCCGTGCCAAGAAGTACCTCGTGCCATACCCACTCAACGAGGTCCCGTGGGGTCCCACACAAACTTTTTACGACTATAACATGCGGCTCGTCGATCAGTCGGGGCCCGTCATTGTGTCGTGGGGCGCCAAGCGAAAGCTCACCATTGACCTGTCCTGAGGCGATGCTCGTCAGCCATCAGCTGCTCGATGCTGATGGCGTCGAGATGGAGCTCAAGGGCATGATAACCCGCGAAGACAAGGACCGTCGCGTCACGTTCCAGATAGTGCCGCAGCGTGTGGGCATGTTCAAGCTCGTCATCTTCGCCATGCCAAAGCCCAAGTTGAAGGGCAAGTGGCGGCTTCCCCTTGTTGCCACTTTTCTTATTGACTGCAAGCTCACCAGGTTGCAGCTGGATGAAGAGCTGCGGTTGGCGCACCACAGGCCTCCGCTCCCAGAAGACGACAAAGAAAAAGACAACGAGAAAGAGAAAGGCAAGAGGGTACGAACATCCACAGGGCGGTAAAATATTTACTGCGATGGTGCGATTACTTCCAAGACTTACCAGCAGGCAAGAATCACCTGTGCGAGCATCCATCGGATGTACACACCAGGCACAAATTCTCAAGAAAAAAGGCCGATGAAATGAGGTCTGCATCTATTTTTCCTAGGATTTTCCCCAACATGCGGACAGTTGAACTGCTAGCCAATCATGGTAGAGGAGCTGTTCCCTTCCTGCCAAGAAAATGCCACTTGAGGTCTGTCATCTCCATCATATGGAGCTGTGCCTTGGTCTCCTTGGCCACCACAACAACAGGACGAAGTTTTTCCAATGCCAGGACGACGCGTATTGATCCATTGTACACTGGTTTCCTAATGGAACGATGCTTTTCAAGCAGTATTACAACGAGGAACTGTTATTACACACAAAATATCTATAGTGATTGTGGCTCTTCCGGGAACTGAAGAAGAATGCACGACACGCATTACTGAATGATTCTTCCAAGCCTTCGTGACAGATGTGTGTACCAGTGGGACATTTTTCTGGGCTGTTTTCTGGTACAAAGCTAGGGTCTGCTTCTTTGAAGGAGGCCATGCTCGCACTTCCTTGCTCGTCTCCTCAGAGTGTCGTTAGAGAGCCGATGGGCTTTTGTCTGAAGTTCCCGGACTACCTCGTATCGAAGGTTGGTTCTTAGGCCTCTCCTTCTTACTATTACAGGCCAGCAGCAGATATCCGTATGCTGGTGGCGTATGGTATCTCTTTTTGCTGGAAGTCAGTTTCTAGTCTTCGCGCAAGCAATAGATCTTAGTTTCATGTGTAATGCTAGCGTCTAATGAGGTCTATTATATATGTATAATGAGGTCATGTATAATGTATATTGGTCTAACATGTGTAATGTATATTGAGGTCGACCACTCTAATATTGCTATATTGGTGGCCCTGCGGCAATTAAGTACGACCACTCCAAGAAAAGCGGACATTTATTGAATGTGAGACACCAACGACGCTGAATTCCGCTGATACTTTTTATTGCTACCAACATATATTTGAACAATATAACGGCACACTAACTATTAAAGCCGACGTTACTGAAACAGTAAATACGGAGAAAACACTGTCATTGCTTCGTGCATGCTTTTATTCTCAATCTAGAAATGGCGCGAATGATTCGCAATGACCCCAGACTTACTTAGTCAGTACCTACAGGTCATTGTCGCCATGCAACACTGTAAATTTGTCGCTTTAACGGCCGAAACACATCCATGTTCATTTAACTCTGACCGTTGAGGAGTGACTGGATGACTCCAGAAAGGCCTCGTTCCCCGCAACGTATCCTCGTTTACATGCGTTCCGCGCATCTGGCCGGCAACAGTACTGTCCAAGTGCCTTCTGGTAGCGCGGTAATCATCGTATCTGGACGCTGAGATGTGCTTATTGCACAAAACCTAAAACAATATTCAGCGGGAAGGAATACTGAGCACCTCATTGTGACACAGGGATGCAGCGATTTTTACATTGCTTTTGCACCATTGTAAATGATTCACTTGAAAATAAACTGTTCTTGTTGAGTATAAGAAGTGTCATTCTGGGTCGAAGTGTCGCCATGGAGTCCAATTCAAAAAGGGGAGCAGCAGCCAAGCAACTCAATGATAAAGATGCAGCCATTGTTGCGGTTGAACGCCCCAAAACTACGACGTGAATTTGAAGGATGCCGCAGTGGAGGGTTCCGGAAATTCAGACCACCTGGTGTTCTTCGACATGCATCAAAATCCAGGTACACGGGCTTCTTGCATTCCGCTCTATAAAAATGCGGGCGTGGTGGACGGGATTCAATCTCGCGATCACCATGACCACCATGGTGGGGGAACTCATGAATGGTTGTGTCTTGCTGAAGAAGAGATAACATGAGGGCGAGAATCAATATTTACTCCACTTCATACTTCATAGAACCTTAGGGGGAAAATAGTGCTGGGTGAGGTGTTAGTCTTTCGAGAAATATTACTATCAGAGTTTAATCTCGTATCTATCGCTTACAGGATAATATGAAGGATACAGGACGCATGGTATTCTGTACATAGAGCAAGATGAATGGAAGAAAAAAAAACCGAGGTAATTTTAGGGGGTGACAGCCTAACAATAATTATTAGATCCACCTACAAGGCCACATTACCCATATTTTCTATGCCTTCGCGCTACAAAGGAAGTAGTTCCTAAACTTTGGCAATAATTTTTACGCATATAAACGGTATAATGCAATACTTATTTGTATTGAAATAAGGAACCAAAGGCTAGATAATGAAACTTGCGAAATCATGGATTTCAGCACCAGTTACACAATATATATGTCGTTTATATCCCACCACCCGCCATGGGAATCTCGGAGTTTATGAAGAAAGAATGTGCATCTCGAAAGTGATGTTTCTGCGCTGTATCAAATGTGATACTAAAAAAAACGCTATGTCACGTGTAATGTAAAAGCTAAAAGAATGGCTCTTTTATGGCTGCATCAAACAAACAGCGACATTGATCAGATTTATTGCGGCATTTCTTTATTTTTCTTCTTCAAAAAAAAAAAAAAAACTTCCGCTGCTTGGTTTTTCCCATTTCTGCAGAAACCACGGTAACTGTGACTCAAATCGAAGAATGGCGAAGTGATCCGAGATTACCCTCGTGAATTTCGGTTATTTGTGCTGCCATGAATACTGCATTTTCTGCTCGAAACCACCGTGCTTGCCATCGCGTTTTAGGTAAACGCCAAGGTTTTATTTGACGTCTTCTTTCAACGAAAAAAAAAAAAAACTGGTCCCGTATCTCCATGTTATACTGTAAATGTCGTTGATGGACGATAGTCTTGCGTCTGGAGAGAGTGAACAGAACGTTTATTTGATAATCTGCGCAACAAAATCAGTGAATGGTGTTCTGAAGGCACTGCGTTAGAGTGCCTTGAATCTAGCGTTCGAAACACTTGCCTTTTCGTGCAAGCATTGCGTCGTCAGCGCAGCGTGATAAGCGCTACGGTCCTTAGAAGTACTTGTGTATGCCGTTTCTTGTAAAACGACACACATACAGAATATTGACGTGTTGTTATGGTGCCTCCGATATGCGAAATAATTGCTTTTTAATTGACAATCGCACAAGTATGAACGCAAAACCTCGAGCAATATTGGTGGGCGCTGCGAATGGGGTCGGCCGTTTGGAGTATTGTTTGGTGCCGTTAAGGGTATCGTTCAAGACAGACAGACAGACAGACAGACAGACAGACAGACAGACAGACAGACAGACTGAACGACAGTTGGACGGACAGACAGACAGACAGACAGACAGACAGACAGACAGACAGACAGACAGACAGACAGACAGACAAAAAACTTTTGGGTCAAAAGTTCCCCAAGAAAAACTATCGTCTTTAATAAGAGCGTGAAACGCACACGGTGTTTAACTGTGGAGGTCACTGCACACGTTGCCATTACGTTCATGTCAAGGACGTGTATGCGGCTGAAGTGACGGCGACTGAAAAGTTTACAAGAATTCTTTTCCTGATTCTACGACATACACTGGTGTTGCCGCGACCCCTTCAGGCTCTGAATGTGCAACTTCTGAAAGCGGATCAAGTTTTCTGTAACCGTGGCCCCCTAATTTGCACTGATGAACGCGTATCGGCGAATGCGTCTGTGCGATTGCTATAGTGAAAACGGTTTTCCCTTTCTCCCTGCCTTACGCCGGGCCAAAATATCACCTCTCTATATATTGGACAGGCGTGAAAGTTTCCGGGTACACCAGTGCGCTCTACATGAAAACCTATGTGGAGATTATTCAGTGGCCACGTTGTTTCTCTCCGGGCAGTCAATGTGACGCGTATATTTAAATGTGACGAGGATGGGCTGCTCCCATTCATGAAGTGAGGTCTCTTGAAAGCTTTTTCTCCACAACAGGCCGTGGCGCGGTGTGCTGGTTTTCAGAGGTGGTCTATTGTCCATCTGAAAGTTCCCATCGTGGCACGTTGGGTATGCAAAGCTTGTGCTATAGCCGAAATTCACTTGAGACATACACATCACTGCGTATTCCTCCACACCTGGTTCGTTTACTTTTGCTCATGTGTCAGGCCGATGGTTCATGTTGGTCGGCTTCTCTCTAATCGCACTTCGTCTACACGTACGTATCACGAAAGATCACCAAGCACAGCGCATATCGCAAAACATCACGAAGATTTCCACGTTGCGACTTCGAACACACGCAGGTGCGGAAACTTCCTACGTCATGGCCTTTTGAGGGCGGTAACGTACACAGACGCGCATGTTCAGACCTCACTTCCACAATAGAGTTTCCTCAATATACACTAGAGGGAACGCTGGCGCAAGTGTCTATGGGAGGTGCAACGCATGGCGCTTCAGCGAGCGTGGGAATCATGGGTATGACATGGATTTGCCTAGTTTTGGTACTTTATGTTCGCTGTGGCTTCGCATGGCTTAAAACTGTTTTGTCACGAAACAGCAATCGGCAAATGTTCGGCAGGTAGGCTTCATCCCTAATCTTCTAGACTTACCACTTCAAGTTGTGTCATGAAGTGAAAAATGCTTTGTTCTTTCGAAAAAATAAAATCAAAACACAGTAATGAACGAAGCCACAAGTTTGTCCGCCACCCGCAAGCACGAATTTCGGGCAAATTTATGGCATACCCATAATTCCCATGGTCGCTGAACGATCACAGCGCCTGAGTTCCCTCTATAGTTATTTTAGGAAACTCTACGACTTCCAGCTTCTGGCCCACCAACGAATAACCCTCCGGGGATGTGCTTGGTGCATCCAAGCGAAGGAAAAAACACCCCATTTCATTCTAACGAAGCGACGGAACGCGATAGATTGCTGTAAAATACTCCAAGCTTCTGCCGCTTTTAGGCGGACCTCAAACGCTGCACGATCACAATTATCTGCATCCAATGACGGCCGCCAAGAATGATGTTGAGTGTCAGACAGAGAACTTTGTTGTGGTCCTGAAGAACTGCGGTGTGACGCCCTTTTCGTGTAGAGAACAGTATACGAAATAGGTTCTTCTGGACGAAACAAACACTACAGAAACACCAAGTTGACACCGCCCG